TAGTTGGGGTTTCAAACGTATTAAACGAAATTCATCGTATAGACGTGCATTTTATTTTTGTCACTTATGTTTCATTTTGTTGCTTCCTTTTTGTAACTTTCGCTCTGTTTGTTAATATAATTCCATTCTTGAAAAGAAGAAAGTGTCAAATTTTGTATACTATTTAACAAGAAATACTTTTTTTTTTTTTATAAGATAATGATTTTATTATAAATAACAGCAGAGCTGTTAGCTTTCTACCCTTTCTCTGAAAATTTCTCCTAGTGGTAGAGTTCATATTTTTATAAATCCTTTCTTTAGTAAGTTTAGTTAGCACCATTGCTTTTAATATACTTACCAAAGAGGTAAAAAACGGAAGGCCATCCTCCAAACATATCTGAACTACATAACAATCCGGATAAGGTCAATGCCAGTACATTTCCCGCCATAACACCTGAGAAGATGATTGTCGACACCCTGCTTCTCTCCATCTTTGGCGACCATTTGCTTATGGCGATCTGTATTGAAGGTGCTGTTACTCCCTGTAAAAGACAGCAAATACATATATGTTGGATAAGTATGTTCTAATGACTATAGATTACTTTTCCTAAACAGCTTTTCTTAGAACCATTCTTTTCAAGATTAATATGATTGATTTGTTTTAATCGCATGGAATTTTTATGCGAGCCTTTTCGAACAGTAAGAAGCCTTTTGTTCTCTCGCCATTGCAGCGGAAGTGTTGCAGCTCTATGCATGTGTACACATGTTTTTGGTGAATTGTCTGTCCCCTGACACCATCGCTAGTGTTAGTGGGTGTTTAAAATGTGTGAGACAATGAAAAATTAGTCAGCTTTTTATTTTGTGGCTCAGCTAAGTTAACCGTAAACCGATCATAAAGCCAAAGCGTAAAGCGTCCTCATAAAGTCCTCTTGTTTTAACTCTGAATATAAACAAAAACCGGTTCGGAACAGTGTGAAGAGGTATTCCCTTTCACAATCATACACAGAACAGAGCTTGCTACGTAATATAACCGGTATAAAATAAAATAAAAAACATTTCCGGTAGAGGATTGACCCGTTTTGACTCAGAGGATAGAGCGTTTGCATTCCAATGAGGTGAACCTTCGAATCCCAGCGATGGCTAGTCGATACGAATTCCGCATCCGGCTTGCCCCGACCACAGTACTGACGAGAAATATCCTCAGTGTTAGATGGATCATGGGTTAGAGTCCCCTTGTCGTCATGCTAACCGTGGGAGTGTTTCGTGTTTTTCCTCCCCCTGTAACGCAAATGTGGGTGAGTTCCATCAAAAAAGTCTTCCACGAAGGCATATTTATCCCAATACTTGTTCCAGGATATTAAAAAAAACTTATTTAACACTAGCAGAAATTTTCCTAGATAAAAGAGAAAATTGACCTCACACAATATCCGTTTTTGAAAAAAGAAACTGTTCTACAAATATGACGCTGGGCACAAACAGGTGAATCTGTCATAGCACACGAAATCAGCCCCAGCCGAACTTTAGTTTTTCTATCAAAATTGCACTTCGCACACCCAGTATTACATAACATATACATGGACCGAGGAGGGCGAGCAACCCCAAGGGGTCGTCCACGAGGAATATGTAGTACGATTAAGACTAGTGTGGTGAGCAACCCAGAAGACGAGTAGCTATTTAACCAGGACACCTGGGTCACCACTGCAACAGAGCTTACGACATAATTTTCTCTCATTGATTATTTTCCTATTGTATATATCTATTTTATTCTTATTTTATCTTTTATTCAACTTGGGTTGATTTTCGTGCGTTGTAAATATACATATTTTATATTTAACACAGACCTTTCCCTTTGGGACGCGTAATTCATAAAAGCATTCGTACAAAATCAGAACAGGATGTAATTAAATAAAAAACGGTAACTTAAATGTAGTCGTTGCTAATTTGACAGACTTACTTTACTTTTACTTGAATTATTGTTAATTCAATCATATATATAATCAATGTTATTTCGAAGTATAACTAAATACTTTTGAACTAAAGTAATGGTGAGTTAAATAAATCAAACAATTATAACTCCGCACACAAATAAACTGCTAAAGAATTACTTTGATTACCAGTTTTATCTTTTCACCCTGGTTGATACGGTTTTATGCTGGCACGCATTTGTGACAGTCGGCGCGAAAGGATTAATAATATCGATCATCATAATCTTCATGATTATCTTATTTTATATTGTTTATGATTATAGTGTCATTTAATTATACTTCATGCCACTCAACATTTCTTGATTGTCCATGTTACACGAACCCCCTCTCAATTTTTTGGTGCTGAGCACCCCATCTTTGTCCCATCTCCATTCCTCCTCACTGCTCCTCATCATCGATTTATTACTACAGATGAATCGGTTAATACCGCTTCGCGGCAGCTCACCGAGATTTATGTGATTTCTACCATTCAACCAACAGGTTAATCTAGTGGTTTTTATTCATTTGAACTTATTTTCCACACCGCTACATATAAATGATTTAAAAACTCTTATACAATGCCACTTTGTTTAAACTCTTTCTTGGTGAGGTAACACGTTGAAAGTTTTGGCTTTTAATTGCTTAACTCTATAAAAGCTTTTGCAAAAAGCTTAGTAGTTGGCTGGTTTTTTTTGGTAATTTTGTTAACAATTTAGAAGCTTTACTATGATTGGGTTGGTTGGTAGAATGGTAGAAATGACATAAATCTCGGTGCGCTGCCGCGAAGCGGCATTAACCGATTCAACTGTAGTAATAAATCGATGACGAGGAATAGTGAGGAGGAATTGAGATGGGAGGAAGAGGGGGTGCTTAGCACCAAAAAATCGAGAGTGGGTTCATGTGAGTCGGCTGGTGCTGAGTGTATTTCGTGTGCTATGGCAACACCATATCCCTAAAGAAAAAGGCAGTGATTGGGCTAAATTTAGTGTTGTCGTCAATTAGTTCTATATCTAGGAGTGAGTTAAAATTGCTGGTGGTACAGGTTTTTGCTTCATCGTAGAAATTTTTATTTAAATTTTTTATATAGACGTTGATGTCATCAATTTTAAGATCCCTTTTTATACTATTATTGCTAATGCATTTAGGTGCGCCGCCGAGTCTTCTAATAATCTTCCCTTCTGCCATAGAGAGTTTATTTTTTAAATGATCACTTAGAGTGTTAATGGTGTGGCAGGCATAGGCTAGGATTGAACTAATTGCCATTAGATAGACAGTGCGCTTGTATTTTAAGTCTAAAGATGACTTCGAGTTTAATATGGAGTTGAGGCCCAATAGGCATCATCAGAGATGCCAACTGCTCCGGACAGGCCTAAGTGATTAAAAAAATGGTAAATACCTTCAAAGTAAATTTTGCAAATATTGGACTATTTTTCCTTGCTTTTTAAAAGGTATAGCATGACACAAGTACTATAAGGTGGTGAATTCTATAAGATTACGAATTATTTAGAAATACTGGTGGATAAAAATGTACTAAACTAAATTAATTGAACCAAGAATCACAATTGATAAACTAAAATCGGGTGTATTCAAGAATTTGAATTGCGGAAATCAAGAAGCTTTACCATAACGTATTTGATTTTACAAAATTATTTACGGCATCATAACAAATAAGGTCACCCACCCGCTTACTGATCGCAGCCAGTGATGCTGGACTTCGGTATTCAACTGGGAGCCGTGTCTTTACGATCAGAAATAAAAACGAAAAAAAAATTACGAATTACGAAAAAAAAAGAAGATTTAATTGTTCTTTTGCATTAAAAAGTTAAAGATTTTTCATCAAAATAACAATTTTTATTATTTTAGTGCAGATTGCTGAACAGAAATAACTTTTTTTTAATGTTATGAAGCGATAAATAATTTAAAACTAAATTGTACAGAATTGTTCTAAATTCATAAGTCATCTTGAAAGGAGAACTGCAACATAACTTGGTTATAAATAAACTCTTACTTTATAATTCATGACTTCGTGTGTTGTTTGATTTTGTAGGAGGTTTGAACATTCCGAAACTTGACTGATAGAGCTGTTCAGAGGGTTAATAGATGTATGATTTGTCATGGCCACTATTGCAACGCTTAGGTTGATTCTCATGGCATACACATTCAACATTCCGAAGCATCCCAGCAGAATAATAATATGCCTTTTAGGTATGTAGATTTGCTTCATACCTGAAAATAAAATACAGAATTAATGAAATATTTTTCCAACAACGTCTTATTAACCCCTTGGGGACGGGTGATTCAGAAAAGCATTCGTACAAAATCAGAATCAAGTTGCAATTAAATAAAAAACGGTAACTTAAATGTAGTCGTTACTAATTTGACAGACTTACTTTGCTTTTATTTTAATTATTGTTAGTTTAATCATATATATAATCAATGTTAATTCAAAGTATAACTAAATAGTTTTATTTTGAACAAAGTAATGGTGAATTAAATAAATCAAAAAATTATAACTCCGCCTACAAATAAACTGCTAAAGAAATACTTTGACTACCAGTTTTATCTTCTTACCCTGATTGATACGGTTTTTTGCTGTCACGTATTTGTGACAGTCGGCGCGAAAGGGTTAAAGAAGTGGTAGGCAGTTATCGTTACTGATCCATTCACAAGAAATATTATGGAGATCTATTCATATGTGATCATGGGTGAAAGCGAGACGGAAAAGAGGATAAGCCAGTAGTTTTAACCCACTTCAGTCTGATCTAACTTTGGGGAGTAGTAAATATATTCTCTTTTTTAAATTATTCAGCAGTATCGGCGTGCATGTGTTTAAATACCTGCCAACTTCTCCGGATTTTCCGGAAGATTTTATTTTCATATTTAAAGTGGTAGTAAATGTATACTATTTTTTTTCTCTTATAAACTTAATTTTTAAATGATTTTGATCACCACTATTCATACAAACATTAAGCACATATATTAATATGCGTTACTATCATGGTTGTTAACTTAAGTTTTCTCAAATACAACGTATTTGTTTGCTTAAAATTGAAGTTTTAATTCCATTTTAATACCACTGGGAAAAATGATAATGGAAGTGATTAAAAGTTGGCAGGTATGTAATGTGGTTATTTTTTCATGTATACTTAATTCCTATTCTAAATATATTTGATTTAATGCGCCTTTAGCTACCAGTATAATAAAATTTTTAAACATATATAAATAAGAATAGCCATATTTTTTACTTCCGAAAGATATCGGCTCCAAAGAAGTCAATTTAGCATTAAGAAATGAATATGATGTCTCTCCAGAGAACGTAGTTCAAGTAACGATAAGAGTTAATGGAGGCAGAATAAACGTAGCACATTAATTAGTTACGCTTAAAAAATGTAAATGAAGTAAAGATATTTGGCAAATAGATTTTCAACTAAATTGTTATGTAAAAATTGAAAAATACAGAGGAGGAGGCCAGGGGCTCAAGCAGTGTCATCGCTGTCAATTTATCAGACATTCTCAAAACGGGTGTAGGCATGACCCAAAGTGTGTTAAATGTGCAGAACAGCACCTTACTAGAGACTGTAATAAAGCTAAAAAAGACACTCCAAAATGAGCAAATTGTCAGGGAAATCATGTCGCAAGCTGTAGGCAATGCCCAGCATACCTGGCTATTTCAAATAACAAAAATAAAAACAACCAAAAATAAGCCCTGGCATGGAAGACAGTTTTCGAAAATGAAACGTATGCAGCTGTGGTACTCAAGGAACAGACTACAAGTTCCGCAGCTGAAGAAAAAATTAAAGTGGCTAAGGAAGAACTAACCGCCCTAATTATCATAGCTAAAGATATTGCTGATTCCCTTGCGGGATTAGACAGAAATTACCAAGAAGCATTAATAATTAAAAAATGGATCGAAATAATAAAAATAAATTCAGTCCTCCAAAAATTGCATTCTGGATTGCATCTGGAAGCTTAAAGAATAAACTAGATGAAACTAAACATTCTATCTATATGCATGATTTAGACATTCTAGCTATAAATGAAACACACCTTAATAAATATAATAGATGCAATTTCGTAAACTATAATTTATTCAGGTGTGACCGCACGATCAGCAGAACTGCATTATATGTTACGAGATGCTACAACTCCACATTGTACAGCCAAAATAATTCAAATGGATAAGAAGAGGTATCCATAGTAATTACACTCCAAAAAAGCAGAAAACTTAAAAATTATAAGTATGTACATCCCCCTATCACCCTATTCAAGAAGATACTATAAAAAACTTATTCCCTATAAATGTGGAATCAATTATTGTTGGCTACCTGAACCATCAAGAAAGCCTCCACACGGTATCTTATAAGTAGTCTGCGCAGACTACTTAAAAAGTGAACCAGCTGTGCGCACTAAACATAGTTATATTCTGAAAGTAATTGAGAGATAAAGAAAATAATATCAGAACACTAATAATCCGAGCATTAAAACTGAAATTAATAGACTACAAAAAAACAATAAGTACTACTCATACTTTAATAATAATAATTATAATAATACTATGAACAGAACGGATGATGATGAAATCATCAACATTATTTCAAAACTAAATAAGAAGAAAGCCCCGGGGAATACTACAAATTCCATGATCAGGAATTTACCCACCTTAAGAACTAATCAACTCACCACTATTATTAACCCAAGCTATGCCATTTCCCAAGTTTTTGGAAGCATGCAACAATAAAAAACCATCTTCACGCAGAAAATTATAGTCCAATTAGTTTATTATCATCCTTATCAAAAATCATGGAAAGAATACTACTAAACAGACTTCATTCACTTCTAAATTTCCTCCCAAACGAGCAGCACGGGTTCAGTCTTTCTACGCTATCTCCTTCTTTAGTTCAAACTTAAAAATCTTTAGTTAACCTTTACCAAAAAAATCTTTAGTTAACCTTTACCAAAAAAATCTTTAGTTCAAGCTCATAATTAGTGTTTAATGCATACTTTATCCTGTTTGTATATTGTTCTTGTTGCAAAAAAATTAACACTCTGGATAAGATATAAACTGATGATCGGAATTCGACTTCAGAACCGATCTTAATGATTCAAGGTCAAAATTTAAATTGGCATTAATTAATTGCACTCATTAATTAGTGCCTCAGACAATATATTAACAAAATCAGTCATATAACCGTACATGTTTTATTCAGTTTCTTTTCCGTCAAATTCGAATTTTGTCCAATTCCATAGTATGATCAGGAGAGCGATCAAAAGTTTAGTTCTCTTAATTTTACTTTTTGCGTGTTTCGCAATTTCTCATTGAATTTTCAAGCTCATTAAGCATTTTATACACAGTCATAAAATTCGTTTACCCAAAGATTATTCTATGCAAAAAATAACTTTAAATAATTATTTATAATTTATTATTATATGTGTGAAAACGTTTCGAAAAATTTTGAATTTTAAGGTATCTTATTAAATCATTTTAAGAAATGCAATTTTCGATAAATATAAAAAATACGACATCTTTTTACATGACAAATGTTGAGATAGAAATGAGTAAGTTCAAATTTTAGAAACTACCGTTGCAGAAAATAAAATATATTTAATAAATTATTTAATTTTGTAAGTAATTTCATACATTGTTGCAATATCATAACTTAATAAAGGTATCTGACAGCTATGTACTTGGCTGGTGGATACTTTAATTTAAAAAAAGGAAAATGATGCGATAAAGCTTTTTTTTTTTTTTAATATTTTCAAAGTTG